ATAAAAAAAAAAAGAATGAAATCTTGCCATTTGCAATGACCTGGATGGAGCTAGAAAGTATTATGCTAAGCAAAGTAAGTCAGAGAAAGACAAATACTGTATGATTCAACTCATATGTGGAATTTAAGAAACAAAATGAATGAATGTTGGGGGGTAGAGAATGGGAGAGAGAAAGGGAAACCAGAAAACAGACTCTAAACTATAGAGAACAAACTGAGGGTTACTGGAAGGGAGGTGGGCAGGGAACAGTATAAATAGCTGATGGGGATTAAGATGTGATGAGCACTGCCTGTTGTAGGTACTAAATTCTATATCTGAAACTAATTTTATACTGTATGTTAATTAGCTACAATTTAAATAAAAACTTGAAGAAAAAAAACGTTTGCCTATATTGGTAAAATATAAAACCAGTCAAATCTGAAAGGCTAGAGGTAAAATTTAATGATATATTTTCATTTCTTTGATGAACATTTTGTAAGACATATTGGGCCAAACACTATCCTAGACACTGGACATATAAAGATAAATAAGAAAGGAAAGTACTAATAACTTTGGAGAAACTCACAGTATTTATGAGACAAAATCATAATCAATATTTACCTTTTGAGGTGGTAGCTACTATCTAGTATAAGAAACAGCAAGGTTATCTTGGGAGATATTTTTTGCTTTGAGAATAATCACTTAAATGATCTGTTTTAGTTATAAAAATATTTAGCGATCAAGTAAGAAGTATTCAAGAGAAAAGAGGGAAAAATTTCTTTTGGCTTCACAAAAAAGCAAAACACCCCCCATAATGCCTATGAAATGGAGAGCAGGGGAAAGACGGAGAATGGACAGGAACCCAAATCTCATCAAGGCCCTAACTGCTGCTTCTTTTCAGTCACATTACATCTCTCTTGGTCTGGTGGCCTCAGAATGAGATCAGTTGGCCTCGAAGAATCTGAGAAACTTCATGTCAGGGAAGGCGTACGTACAGATTCATGACCAGGACCTAGACTGTCATGAAAAAGATTTGCTTGTAGACAAAGTTGTATATAAGGCTAGAAGTCACTTTGACCAAGCCAATTTAACAGTAATGACAGAGGAATAGTTTTGTGATGTGCATGTATATGTGTGTGTGGCCCAAAGAACTAAAGAGATTAAGTGCTCATGCCTAAGGTGACAAAGACAAAATCCAGAAACTACTTTTCCCTCTCCTCTATACTCTCAAAGACTACCATCAGACTAACAGGAGTAACTTAGAAATCCCATCTTCAACAACATCAATGTAGAAATGATGGCAGCAAATGCATAAAAGAATATGGTCAATCTAGGAACTCATCAGAATTTCACCTTTCTAGAATCTGATGGCTAGAATCAGGATGCCAAATATGGGATAAGTTTAAAATCTCAGGGCACAATTATAAAAAGGAAAAACCTAGGAAGGAAAAAGTCATCCTTGCAATATTACATTGCACAGTGATTCGTTTCTTCAGAGGTGAAAAGGGGCCAAGCTATCTCATTTAAATAACAAAGAAATATAATCCTTATTTTGTTCCACAAGCTGAGAATTTCCAGGATAAGGACACTGAAGAGAAATCCCAAGGAGAGAAAACTATGCAGCGGGACTACACAATGAAAGGCTTTAGAGGGAAGGCCTTCAAATAGAAATCAAACTGGATATGTTACTTGATAAATTTTACTGTATTGAAAAAAAAATTTAACAGTTCTTTTAAAAAGTTTAAGGGAAGAAGTAGTGATTATCATAACAAATCAAAACATAAAAGGCAATTCCTAACTTCAGGGGAAAAAAGTTTTCTATGAAAATAAAATATTATACAACTTGACTCCGATGTGAACAATATTTATGTTAACACAGAAATACAAATACTGAATATTCATTTGACCAAAAATGGGATATAATTATAATGGGATGACAGAAGGAGAAGGGGTGATGTTGGAGGAGTGAAAGAGCTCAATCCTGTTCTTCAACAGCAGAGAGTAGGCAGATCATGTATAAAACAGAAAACCAAGGAAGAGCACCATAAACAGATTTTGTAGAAATAGGGAGGGAAAAGAAAAAAAAAAACACACAGCTAAAACAACAGAAAATAATTACCTCCTAGGAGTGGTACTCCAAGTATGGGGAAAAGTAGAAAAAGAGATTGTTCTATTTTTCAACAGAAGTCATGATAGTTTGACTTTTAAAACCATGGGCATGTATTATTACATATTACTTAGAACTTAATATTTTTTCCATAATATTACTTTCTTTATTTTGAATATATATAAAAAGGAAAAAAAAAAAACATAAGAAATAAGGTAGCATAAATCCAAAGGGATATTAAAAACTACATATATCATGATTAAGTAGCATTTATGTCAGAATGTAAGGATGTTTTTATGAAAAAAACCACCTTTGGGGGCACCTGGGTGGCTCAGTGGATTAAAGCCTCTGCCTTCGGCTCAGGTCATGATCCCAGGGTCCTGGGATCGAGCCCCGCATCGGGCTCCCTGCTCAGCGGGGAGCCTGCTTCCTCCTCTCTCTCTGCCTGCCTCTCTGCCTATTTGTGATCTCTGTCAAATAAATAAAAAACAAAATTAAAAAAAAAAAACCACCTTTGTATGAATAGAAACAAAACTTTCTTAGCATGATAAAAGCTCTCTAAGAGAAATACACCAAAAACATACTTAATGGAGAAAAATTAGCCACATTCCCTTTGAAGTTGAGAATAAAGTAAGAATGTCTCCCTCTCCTCTACCCAATAAAGTCAATATTTAAACCAGTGCTAGAGGTGTTGGCCAATATGTAAAGTTAGGCAATTATCAGATTCTTGAATCAACAAAACAAATCAATCAACAATGTGGCAGTACATTAGAAGTACCAAATAAAGACACCACTTACTGTAAAAATGGAAAATACTAAATATCTAGAAATTAGACAATAACAATAAAAACTTACAGTCCATTAGAGAACAGAAAAAGACCTGAAAAGAGCAAACCTTATTCACTGAGATGATTTAATACTGTAAAAACATTAATTTTCTTCAAAATTAAATTCAAAGCAATTCTAATTGAACTCGTAACAAGAATTTTTCAGTAACCTAACTATTTCTGAAATTTCTATGTTGGACCAAAAATCCACACATATTTAAGAAAAGAACAGAGAGACCTGCCATATTATCAGTTACAAAGTTATAAAGCCAGTGTAATAACAAGTGTGGTCATTCGAATCAGAACAGACTAGTACACCAGCTGACTTCCCTGGACTCCTGTGTCAGGCCATTTCTCTTACAAATACCAAAACCTCATATACACATGGATATGAACTATGAGTTTAACAAAGTAAAATTTATTGTGATTACTGTTATTTTTAGACTTGATTTCGTTTTAGGAAGGTCAGGCTTAGAAAATACCGGAACTCAAAGATCTAACTTCTACCTTCCGAAGATATTTTCTACAATTTCTGTCCCCAGCCTCTTAACTCTCCTCCATAACCTCTTCCCTTGACTACAGAAGAGCTTCTACCTGTTTGGTAAAGGGGTCTGGAAGGAAGACAGAAGCCAATCACGTATCACATTATACCTAAACTTGCATATTAAAGTTCTACTATATACAGTCTTCAAAAATACTAGTTTCCCTCCCTTTTCTCCAGGTACCAAGTTTGATGTCTCTCTTTACAACTTCACAGCTAGACCATACCCTAATTTCTAAGGATAGTTACTGAAGGAAAAATGCAGCATATGAGGCAAACTACAGCACATGATGAGGTGTAGTACATGAAATCCAACTCTTTCCTACAGAGTAGTTTTCATACATGAACATGCATTTGAGTCACGTGGAGAGCTTGTTAAAGTTCAAGTTGCTGGACTCCATTCCTAGGGTTTCTGATCAGTAAGTCTAGGGAGAGCTGCTTTAAAAAAAAAAAAAAAAAAAAAAAGATTTTATTTATTTGAGAGAGAGCACAGAGAGAGAGAGAGAAAGCACAAGCAGGGAGAGGGTAAGAGGGAGAAAGAGACTCCGCATTGAGCAGAGAGCCAGAGGCAGGGCTCAATCCCAAGACACTGGGATCATGACCTGAGCTGAACGCAAGCACTTAGCCAACTGAGCCACCCAGCTGCCCCAGAGGAGCTGCTTTTCTAATAACTTTCTGGGTGGTGGTAAAGTTCCTTGTCCACAGGCCGTATTTTGAGAAACAGTGCAATACAGCACAGGTTGTCAAATGAGGGCAATTTTGCTCTCCACCAGAAAGCAGGCAGTAAATGTATATATTTTTGGTTGTCACAACCTGGAGAGATGGGATCGGGGGAAGACGTAATACTGGCACCTAGTAAGTCCAGACCAAGGATGCTGCTAAACACCCTATAATACACAGGAAAGCTGCTCACAACAAAGAATTATCTGGCAAAAAAACATCACTGGTGCTAATGTTGAGAAACCATGCTATCAGAGTAAAATGTAACTTACTCCAAGTATATGATTTAACCATTCAGTTAGTGCAAGTTCTTCAGTGAGTTTCAGAAATTTGATCTGTAATAGTCAAATAATTATATTTTCTTCAAATATTAAAAATTCTTTTAATTTCACACATCAATAATAAATTTTAGAAATATTAATATTTAAAGGTATAATGGGCTACAGAAATAAGCATTTATGTAATGTTACTGATAGATTTCTAGTAAAGAAATTAAATTAACATTTGTTTTGTAAGAATTATTAAAAAAAACTAATTATACCAAAAGACCGACTTCCTTGAAAAATAATGACCAATGTTTATTTCTTAAGCTAAGTGAAAAGCAAACAACTGTTCATTGTACCATTATGTATATTTAGTATAAATGAAATATCTTATAATAAACTATTTAAGGATAGGCAGTGATTGCAGCAGTAATCAATCCTAAGTAAATATATCTCAAGAAAACGTACTTTATATATATATATTTTATACTTTGTAAATATGTGTAGACACAAATTTATATATATACAACACACTCAAAAACACGCACGTGCACACAACTTACTCCAATAGGCTGAAAAATAAGTCCATCCATTTCATGGCTGACTTCTTTGGCAAAATTTCCTTCAAGTAACTATAAAATAAATACACATATTTTTAGAAATATAATAATCACTTAAAGAGCATTTTAATTTTTTGCAAATTTTACAAAAATTTCTTAATATATAAGCTTTAAGAACTGAGATACAAAATGGGGAAGGTAGGTGATACAGAGAGATCTAGGTTAACATATTGCAAGATTTTTTTAATGTATAGAGACTGTCACCCCACAGCAGGCTAGATATCTAGAACAACAGTCATAACTAAAAACAACCAAAATGATGGATAAAATATGAAAAACATATTTTTTAAAGATTTTATTCATTTATTTGACAAAGATCAAAGTAGGCAGAGAGGCAGGCAGAGAGAAAGGGGGGAAGCAGGCTCCCTGCCAGCAGGGAGCCCGATGTGGGGCTCAATCCTAGTACCCTGAGATCATGACCTGAGACGAGCCTAGATGCCCCTGAAAAACACATTTTTAAATGCATTTCTGAGCCAGCATAAAAGGAAGACAGAGGCCAAAAGCAAAGTGAAAATACAAGATCTGAGAAGCAATAAATATAGGGAATAAAATATAAAACATACACAAAAAAAGAAACCACAGAGAAACTTGCGAGGGATAGATGGAGGGTGGGGGCAGGATGTCTCCCCTGAGAATCTGTAACCTTAAGCAAGCTCAGACACGGGATCACAGACCAAAAATATATTATCTGTGTCTTTCCCAAACCCACCAGTAGAGGATTAAAAAAAAAAAAAAAAAAATTTGGTCCTATTTTTTGTTTTGTTGTCTTTCTTACATTTTTTCAAGCACAGAAATGTATTATAAGGGATACATAGTATAAAATATAAATACAGTTTTTTTTCAATGTCATTATCTACTAAAGAGTAGGTATAGCCCCAAAGCTCTCTCATTAGCTCTGGGCAAGTAGTTTTAAATGCTTCTTTCAGATTTTTATTGTTTTGAAGTACTGAACATGCATATACTGATGGAACCTCTAAACATTCATTCCTAGATTTTGGAGAGCCAGAGTCTGACCAACTTATAGCACAGTCAGGATAGGTCTGGGATTCAAATACGTTGTATCCAAAATTTTGGATATGCTGTGTGTAATACATCTCTTTTTATCACAATCACATCCTCTTAAACCACTACATCTACAGGGAGATTTGTATTCCAAAAGCAACAACCAAAATTTTAAGTTTATTTCACATGCAACAAAATCTGTGAGTCTCCTCCCAAACTGTGGCTTCATCTTCTCTGCTACTTCGTTCTTCAAAATCCGTAATTTCTCTAAACTGGTGACAGTTCAGCAAAGGAAAACAAGAGCAAATTCTACTTTCTAACAACTTTAAAACCACTGTGGGTTTGAATATCTAAATTACCTCAAAACTATAAGTCTCCTTAGTCAAATTCATAGGGACAGAAATTAGGGAGCAGGTGGGGCAAGGGGAGAATAATGAGTTAGTGTTTAACAGGTACAGAGTTTCATCTGGAAAGATGAAAAAAATCTGGACATGGATAATGGTGATGGTTACACAACAATTTGAACATCCTTAATGCCACTGAACTGTATGCTTAACAACAACTAAAAAGGTAAATTTTATGTATATTTTAACAATTTTTTTAAAGAAATATAGTGCTCATAAAGTTTTCTTTTTTGTTCTGTTTTTTTCCTTTTACTAAAACACTAAGAATTCTTGAGTGGGGAATTAAGTGGGGAAGTGGGGAACCGGCAAATTGGGAATCTTACAACCATATTATCCAGAGTCTGGCCAAATGGGCAGAAATTTCAGGACAGTACTGAGATTCATAGATTTGTCTCCAATGCGCTCAGAGGTTTAAATGACCTAACCAACTGAGAAGGCAATCTGCCAGAATAAAAAATTCTATATGAATTAAAAACACTGATTTATTATAAATTCCTTTTAAGAGAGGATAAATAAACCCCAAGCATGAAAGAGTCAAAATACCAGCTTACATTCTTGCTGGAAATGTGGAAGGCAATGTTAGATTAGAGCCTTTGTTTCATTTATGTGATGTATTTATCCTACAGAAAAAACATTTGAAACTTGTATTCATATTGAGAAGCATATATATTAAGACCTTCGTGTTCTATTTCAACTTTTTTCAGCTATCCATGAACTAATGAAGGGTAAAGGTTCAAGCAAGACAGAAAGTATAACCTTAATACTTCTTATACCCTTTCTTGCAAGAAAAGGTAACCTGCTAAATTCATAGCACAAAATCTGCTAAGAAATAATGCCATGAAAACCAAATGCCACATCGTCTTAAAAAAAAAAAAAATTGTTTTTAAGGAGGCTTCACACCCAACCTAAGGTTCGAACTCATGATCCCAAGATCAAGAGTTGCATGTTCTACCAGCTGAGGCAGTCAGGTGCCCCTAAAAAACTTTTCAAAGGTTAAAAGAATTTGTCCTTCTTAATTGTAGGTACACCATCTATGGCAAATAAACAGAGCTTATCCATTCGTAGATTAAAAGTCTCAAATTTATATAATAGATAATCCCTGTTACAAAATACATACACAGTAACAGTACAGAGTAGGCAAGACTCTAAATAATATGATGTTACCTATTGCAGAAATGAAAACAACTTCATTTTTTATTTTATTGTAACTGTTTATGAATCAGAAACCTCTTGGGTCAAAATGATAAAGAGTCCTTGCTTTTACTCTTGTTTTACTCCTTGTTGATTACTCCAGACAATATATTTTTTTTAATTTTTATTTATTTATTTATTTATTTATTTATTTGAGAGATATCAAGGGAGACAGCAGGAGAGAGCACAAGCAGGGAGGAGAGGGACAAGCAGACTCCCTGCTGAGCAGGAAGCCCAATGTGGGGCTCAGCCCCATGACCCTGAGATCATGACCTGAGTTGAAGGCAGATGCTTAACCCAATAAGCACCCCCCTCCTTTTCTTAAGATTTTATTTACAGAGAGAGAGACAGAGATAGCAAAAAAATCTTTCTTGACTTACTTAGAGTGGCACCTATCGTACTAAGGACCTATAATAAAGTGCTGTTGTATTTGCTTCTTAACATATACCATTCAAAATACGTAATTCCTCACAAGATACGTATTTTTGAGTTTTGCATTATTATTTAACTTGTCAGAAAAGGAAACAGAAGCTATGAGAGATTAGGTAACTAACTTCAAGTCGGATAGCTAAAAAACAGAACAGATATCAGGCACTTGGGTAGCTTAGTGGTTAAGCGACTGTCTTTGGCTCAGGTTATGATCCTGGGATCCTGGAACTGAATCCCATATTGGGCTCCCCATGCTCTGTGGGGAGCCTGCTTCTACCTCTCCCTCTGCCTGCCACTCCCCCTGCTATGCTCTCTGTCAAAGTAAATAAAATCTTAAAAAAAAAACTGATTTCAATTAAAAATAAGAAAATAACCAAAGAAAGTCTGCTTCCACTCTGAAATAAATGCCCGAAGATTTTTGCAACATCTTATGTATATCAGTCCTCTAATCATCATTTAAGGTTTATAGATTTTCTTTTTTTAATTAAAGATTTTGTTTATTTTTTTGAGACAGCATACACATGTGCAAAGGCATGAGCAGAGAGGAGGGACAGAAAGGGAAGGAGATGGACAAGCAGACTCTGCACTGAGCACAGAGCCCAATGCAGGGCTTGCTCTCACACCCTGAGATCATGATCAGAGCCAAAACCAAGAGTAAGGCACTCGAACAACTGAATCACCCAGGCACCCCAACATTTACAGACTTTAAATGTACTGTACCATGTACTGTTTGAAAAAGTGTCATATGAAGGTAGGTAAAATACCTGAAGGGGAAAAAATCGTTTAGGAATAGAGATAAAATCTAAATATTGTATTAATATTATATAATTTATCATTAATGGACTTACTTCTTCATATTTCAATTCATAGATGTAAAGTACGTTAAGTTAAAAATACTGCTTTTTCCCATTCACAACTCTTGAGAGAAAATTTATCCAAACTTGTTATGGGCATCTTCTATATATCAGTATCTGCATAGTTAGAGCCAAAATTTAAGTCATTTAACTGATTTCCATTATTTTCACTCTTGTCTCCTGAGTTACAACATACTTCAAATTGCACGTGCAACTTTCACAATAGATGTTATGCCAAGTTAAAAGCAGAAATTGAATAACATTAGAAAAGTTCTTTCCCCTTCATTCACTCTATATGTCTATGTCCATAATCTTGAAAGTGTTTAGCTCCTTTAAAGTTATCTTTTTTTAAAAGATTTTATTTATAGATCCTGGATATCAACCTTTTGTCTGTACTGTCATTTGCAAATATCTTCTCCCATTCCGTGGGTTGCCTCTTTGTTTTGTTGACTGTTTCCTTTGCTGTGCAGAAGCTTTTGATCTTGATGAAGTCCCAAAAGTTCATCTTTGCTTTTGTTTCCTTTGCCTTTGGAGACATATCTTGAAAGAAGTTGCTGTGGCTGATATCAAAGAGGTTACTGCCTATGTTCTCCTCTAGGATTCTGATGGATTCCTGTCTCACATTGAGGTCTTTTATCCATTTTGAGTTTATCTTTGTGTACGGTGTAAGAGAATGGTGGAGTTTCATTCTTCTGCATATAGCTGTCCAGTTTTCCCAGCACCATTTATTGAAGAGACTGTCTTTTTTCTACTGTATATTTTTTCCTGTTTTGTCGAAGATTATTTGACCATAGAGTTGAGGGTCCATATCTGGGCTCTCTACTCTGTTCCACTGGTCTATGCGTCTGTTTTTACACCACTACCATGCGGTCTTGGTGATCACAGCTTTGTAGTAAAGCTGGAAATCAGGTAACATGATGTCCCCAGTTTTATTTTTGTTTTTCAACATTTCCTTAGCGATTTGGGTTCTCTTCTGATTCCATACAAATTTTTGGATTATTTGCTCCAGCTCATTGAAAAATACTGGTGGAATTCTGATCAGAATGGCATTAAAAGTATAGATCGCTCTAGGCAGTATAGACATTTTTAACAATGTTTATTCTTCCAATCCAAGAGCATGGAATGGTCTTCC